TTAAAAAATATTGTAGTTGACAATGTTCTGTTAGTTTCAGGTGTGCAACATAGTGATTCAGCAATTCTGTACATTACTCAGTGCTCACCACAGTGAGTATAGTTACCATCTGTCACATACAGTGTTGTTGCAGTATTCCTCCCTATGCTGTACTTTCCATTTCTGTGACTATTTTTTAGTAAGCTCTACGCCCAATGTGGGGCTTGAACTCATGCCCCCGAGTGAGTTGTATGCTCTACTGAGTCAGCCAGCCAGGCGCCCCTGTGACTGACTTTGTAACTAACTGGAAGTTTGTAGCTCTTAATCACCTTCTCCTGTCTCATCCATCGCCTCTACCCCTCTGTCGACCACCGTTTCCCTATTGATGACTGTGTGCATTTTTTTTGAGATGAAATCATGGTGTTTCTCTGTGTGAATTATTTCACTTAACGTAATACCCTCTAGGTCCATCCACGTTGTCACAAAAGGCAAGATCTTGTTCTTCTTTATGGCAGAGTAATATTCCGTTGGGTATATACACCAGATCTTCTCTATTCATCTATCGATGGACATTTGAATTGCTTCCATATGTTGGCTTTGTAAATAACAAACACTGCCATAAACATAGGGGTACATATATCTTTTTGAAATCAGTGTTTTCATTTTCTTTGGGTAAATACCCAATAGTGGAATTACTGGATCATATGATAATTCTATTTTTACTTTTTGAGAAACCTCCATACTATTTTCCACAGTGGTTGCACCAGTTCACATTCCCACCAACAGTGAGTGCACAAGGGTTCCTTTGTCTCCACATCCTTACCAACATTTGTTATTTCTTGTCTTTTTGATACTAGCCATTCTGACAGGTGTAAAGTAATATCCCATTGTGCTTTTGATTTGCATTTCCCTGAGATGAGTCATGTTGAGAATTTTTTCATGTGTCTGTTGGTCATCTGTCTTAAGATTTTAAGTAATCTCTACACGCAATGTGGGAAACTCACAACCCTGAGATAAAGAGTTACATGTCCCACTGACTGAGCCTGCCAGGAGCCCCTCTGTCTTTAGAAAAAATGTCTATTCAGGTTAGGACTTGGATTGATTTTTTTGTGTGAGTTGTATAAAATATATATATGTTTTGGATATTAACCCCTTATTGGATATTTCATTTGCAAATATCTTCTCCAATTCAATAGGTTGCCTTTATGTTAACGGTTTCCTTTGCTATGCAAAAGCTTTTATTTTGGTGTCGTCCCCAAATCCCATACTGTGTATGCATTGAGTTTTATGGTTTCAAGTCTTGCATTTAGGTCTTAACTCCCTTTTGAGTTTTTCTGTGTGTATGGTATAAGAAAGTGGTCCAGTTTCAGTAGCTGTCCAGTTTTCCCATTTAGAAACTGTCTTTTCCACATCGTATATTCTTGCCTCCTTTATAACGTAGATTAATTGACCATATACATGTGGGTCTATTTCTGGGCTCTCTATTCTGTTCCGTTGATCTATTTGTGCCAGGACCATCATGTTTTGAGTACTATAACATTGTAGTATATCTTGAAATCTGGGGTTTATGATACCTTCAGCTTTGTTCTTTCTCAAGACTGCTTTGGCTATTCGGGGTCTTTTGTGGTCCATACGAATTTTAGGATTATTTGCTATTTCTTTTTTTTTCAGGGTATTTTCTCACCAGATCCTTGGAGTATGCTGGTGGTGGCTCTCTCTCATTGACCATTTCACAGCTGAAGTTTAGAGGACTTGCCCAAAGCCCGCTCCATTTTGTTGATGTAACTTTTAATGACCACCCATCCATTAAGGACAAAGTTATCCTCAGTGCTTCCCATCTGCCTCACCCTGATTCCTGCATCAATCATGATGTAACTGGGGTAGGCCCTAGACAGGAGCATGGTTTTTAAGTGTTACCTAAGGAGGTAGAAGGGCACTAGCCCTGAAACACATGCCCTATCTGGGAACCCTTCCGTTTCCTTGCCTGGGTTCCTCCTGCTGCCGGGTGGCTTTCTGCAGGCAGCAGTTCCGCCGTAATCACTCCTGGTATCCCCGTCTACCTGCAGGTAGCCCCTCTCTATAATCTAACCTGAAAGGGGGTGGAGGGAAGGGGAGTGATTTTCCAAACTACTTGGTTTTCATCTCAATTTAATAGATCCCCTCTAACCTCCCATAGTTCACTTTCTCTCTTGTCCTGAAAAGTCTGGGCAGGTTCCAAATGGGCAACCTCCCCAGGGAGCTGCCGTGAGACACCCAAGTCACTGTAGGGCATGTGCATCATATGATGGCTACAAAAGAAAAATGCATCTTTAGAGATAAAGTATGTAACTGGTAAGCAACTAGTTCTTGCCAGCTTACCAGAGAGGGACCATTACTGTTAATACCACCATGAGCTATAATTTTTAGGATTACCAGACCTTTTTCCTTACCTTAGCAAAAGAATTCTTAAAAAATTACCCTATAATTTGTATAAATTACTCCAGAGCTAAATCTCATTTTTGCTTCCCTCAATGTATCAATAGAAACAAGTAATCAGTTTGAAAAAGACACACATATTAGCAAAGTACTGTTAAAAGATTTATTGCAATAATACAATAAAAGTTTAGAAAACATTTGTTATGACTCAAACTGGTTTGGAAGTCGCAGAGTAATGGGAAATTCCTGCAACATGACACCACAAGGAGATTCTCAGATGTAGTTCTTCTAAAAACAGCATGCCCCCAAATGTTCTTTCCCAAATTATCAATACATGAATCCTTAAGTGAATCCTGTCCATACACCCAGTGTTGACATACTGTTTTTCCCCTTAACTTACAGATGTGCAAAACTTCTTATATTCCATTACAAAAAAGTCTTTAACAGACCATTTTAAGCAGCCTATTTGGTGCCTGTAGGTTTTTATTAGTATTACCTTGTTTCAACAAATCATTTTATATGGAAAACATGACCAAGTTCTATGGCTTTTGTTTAAAAAAAAAAAAAAATACCAGCTTCAACTTTTTAAAAAGCTGTTTACATATGGTTCTGGCACCTACATGAAAGATTTTAATGAGCAGCAAAGAGAGTAGAAAAAACAGTGGTTGAAATGTATATTTAAGAGTATTTACAGAGTGGATCCAGTGCAAAATAATGAAAACCAAAATATCTCAGCAGTGTCAGCCAGTATGTTGGTATTCAAAACCACTAAAGGGTTTGATCATTTAACCCTAAATAAAGTGCCTCTAGTTGATATAAAAAAACAACAAAACATACCCTATCAATCCCTATTTCTCATATCCTTTAAGTTTTGTTGAATTACTCTCTAGATAGGAGTTGTGATCTCTGGATTCTATTCTTTAGCTTAATCTCAAATTCATGGTTTCTTAAGCGGCCTACTTGAGAGAAACCAAGACAACTCCGCATCTTTTAGCTGAAGTCAATCTCTATCCCCAAGCCCCAAATGTCTTTCATCTTAGCTTGAAACTTTTTTTTTTGAGGGTTTGAAGTGCCTAGACGACTCTTCTATTAAGTTCATTTGGTATTTTGTTCAAGTACCCATTACCTATGAACTTCAGACCTGGATGGTATAATGCTAGCTCAGCAATCATGAAGCTGAGTACTTGACACCAGCTATTGAGAACCCACATGGAGAGAAGCCTGTTTCCTCCCTAAGTGGAAAATTCATAGAGTCAGGGAACTTGGAACTCCTGGATAGGAATAAACACCCTTCTTCTGCAACTCTACCAAACATTAAATATACCAATAGCAAAAGCTATATAGCACCTCGGATTTGGAGGCAAAGTATCAACTATAATAATTACAAGAAAAGAAGCTAGGGTAGGGTAAGTCTCTGATTTATCTGAGGTACTGTCATGCTAATCACACTTAACAAGATATGGTAATAATGCCTGTTAGGAATTTTTCATAGGATTTCTTTTTGTAGTTGTTACATAGGACTTTTTTGTAATTATTAAAAATAAAAAACTACTTACATATTTGTACATAATGCCTCTCTACAGTTTTCTTATAAGATTGTCACTAAGAGAATGACAAGACGACACATTAGCTGAAAATGATCTCTTGGTGAGGGAAAATTCTGTCAGAGAAGAGTATTATCAGCTCTGATTTGCTCTGCGTTTCTGAGTGAAGGGAGTGTCCCTAGAGCAACAAAGACCTCTAAGAAAACAAGCAGGATGGTTTTCCCTGGGAAAACCTGCCACCTACTGAATCCCTTAGAAAAAAATTGGGACACCAGAAGAATGACCAGAGGCCATTTAGTTAAGTGGCTTTTAACCTGTGCCCAGGCAGGCATTTAACTTACACAAGGGAACTACCTTAATGACTTTTCACTCAAAAAGTAAATTCAATTTCAAAATGCATATAGTGTAGATGGTAAGAATTCAATAATCTAGGTGAGAATGAACTAATTCCTTTCAGAATATAAGAAAATAGTTTTTAAATCTCCAGGCAATCCTTGTAGCTGGGATTTCCTCTGTTCATGGATGCGGGTCGAAAAATAAAAGAGACCTTATTTCTTTGGCGTGTGGGAGAAAGAAAAATAGGAATGTCTGACAAGCTACGACAGCAGCAGCATGAGTGAAATAATTTTTAAACTACCCCTTCCCCCCCAACACACAAAAAGCCCCTCCCTTCCAAACAAAACCAACATCCTTGACCTAAAAACCAAACAAGACCAGATTCTAAAGAAATCAAGTATTTCAAATTGCCTGCTGGTTCTCTATACAAAAAATGATGGCATAAGCACAAACTCATATGAAACAGTTTTTATCTTTCAAGTCCTACTCATCAAGAATCACTTCCTTGTGATTCAACTTCTAAAATGTAAAGTGTTCAGGAAAAGTCTCAGCATCACAAGGACCGATGTGTCAGCCCGCCTCTGCGGGTCCTGTGGCCCATGGCCAAAGGGAGCCCAAAGGAATTTTCTGCTTCAACAGAACAGAACACACACACTCGCCTTTCTTCCGCCAACACGGGTCTGGGCAGAAGGACCTCTGACCCTGCTGTTCTATTATAAGCATGTGGGTCACCCCCATCAGCCATCTGATACACAGAAATGCTTGTCTCCCTGCTTTAAAAAAAAAACCCCAACGGTTTAACCTCTTTTTGTTCCAGGCACTACCCTAACTGAACACACGAAGTTTACTGGAGCACAGTGGAAGAACAACTTTGACACAAACCTGGCGCCTTTCGGTCCGCATGCATTAGCGGTGTCCAGTGTACGCCTTAAACCAGGAGGTCACCGAGGCCGCGGCGGACGAGATCATCCCCCCGGCACTGCTGCTCGCACCAGGCGGGGACAGCTGGCCGCTCTGGCTCTGGGAGCCTTCCACGGGCTGCGAAGGGATATCACAAAACCGTGGGCTCGGCAAGTTCTCCCAGTCCGTGCCCAGGTCGGTCTCCTCATCACTGATGTGCTCGTCGCCGCTCTCAGCAGATTCCCCGGCAACGCCGGGCTCCACGAACTCCATGGACTCCTCCAGGTCCGCTCGCACTTCAAAGGGTCCCGACCTGTGCGCACACAACCAGCACTGTGACAACGGTGACACAGGCCTGACGGGACCTAGAGGTCCGCCCGCTTCCCAAGCCTACACTGGCCCCCTGATGGTCTGTAATGGCGGCCTGCTTCACCTAAATAACTGCCATCCAAGGAAGGAATAAAACCACAACACCACTCTGTTCGAGTCCACCTACCCGATTTGTGAAGATCCTGGATGGAAAAAAACCCATCCACCGAGACTAACCCTGCTGGTCCAAAGTACAATTTCCTCTTTAAACAACTGCAGTATCTATGCATTCCAATGAGACAATTCTGACAAAAACAGTCACTGGATGTATACTCTGGGCTGTCGGTGGAACAAGTAACAAACAATATAGAAAAAAACGTACAGATGTTCTCTGCCTTATGGAAGTCCCCAATGTGTACGTTCTTATGACTCAAAAGAGCCAACTGGTATGGTTGTATGCATGTTAGCAGTGCTTCCTTGGATTGGTGTCAACAGCAGGCTCGGGCACCCATTTTAAGATAGGATCTCAATTTTCTAGGGGCCCACTTATAACAGAATGAGCTATAACTATTTAGAACATAGTCATCTGGAATAATCCATATTTCTGCACTGTATTTTTGGAGAAAACTATTCCCCAAAGGTCCCTGATGACATCATCGTCTCCAAATCTAATAACCTCCCTCAGGCCTCACCCTCTGGGACAGCTCCTGAGCGCCGCTGTGGGGCGGTGTCAGCAAACCCCACCCAGGCCCCTTTCCCAGTGCCCGTCAGCCCCTGCCTCACGAGAGCCCGGCTGCACTGGCTTCGGGTGGGCAGTCACCCCACCGCCCCCTGCTCTTCTTCTAGGATTTCCCGGTAGCCAAGGCCCCCCAGCAGCCCCTCTCCAGCACTGCCCCCAAGATAAGGACACATGCCTCCGGTAATGACTAGGGAAAATGATGGGGGTTAGCAAAAATCAAATGACAGAGATCCTAGAATAGGTACAGCCTGCCATTTTAGTCTATGGCCCAAAATTCTTTATGGCCTTAACAATGACAAAAGCCTAGCGACGGCCTCCCATAATGTACCTGACCACGCCTGCACCTTCCGACTCACTTTCTCCAGGGTCAAGCAGCCTTTGTTCCTCCAAGACAACCTTGCTTCCTGGCTGCACCAGCAACAGTAACAGCTAACACTTCTGTCCCAGGCACTGTTTTTAGGGCTTTACAAATATTCATTAAATTGGAAGATGCACCAGAGGGTTTCCCTTTGGTCTCCTGTGAGCAATTTGCGTTATCAAAGAGCCCCTCTGACCAGGGGCTCCCAAGTTTACAAGGCCTCCATCTAGCCCAGAAGTCCTTACTTTTCGCAAGGGGTGAAGGCAGCAAGAACTGGGAGACTCTCCCCAAGAACCCCCCACCTCCCCCTGCAGCTTTTCCAAACTAACCAACAACCACTGAAACCAGCATCTTAGCTGAGTATCCCTTTCCTGTTTCCTTAAAAGGCTCTCCTTACAATCCATTTCTTTTCTTTTTTCCTTTTTCCCCTTGGTAAACAGGTCTACTCCTAAGATTTATTTTTTTTTTGATGCCTCTCCTTCCTCCCAGCTTCACCGCCCTCCAGGGCTCTCCACCTGAGCGCCAACCTTTCTGGCTCATCTCACCTTACCTGAGCCAGGCGGCCCTTCTCCAAACAAGCCAGCTGGGCCTCCGCCCTCATGCTCCTGCCTGAGATCACCAAATAAGTCCCCTTTCGAGCCTCAACACATCCCCCCCCCCCCGCCAGCTCAGGTCCTCACTGTACCACCACCCCCTCATAGCCAGCGTCTGCCTCCAGTCAGCCCCACCCGCCTCAGCGCGCCAGAGACCGGCCTCTTTCGCTCCTCGTGGCGGCTGCCTCCAAAAACTGTTCATAACGTAGCATCTTAGCGGGTCCCCGCCTTTCCTAAACACAGGGCCCTCTCATTCTGTCCTGTTGAGCTTTGCTGTCCGGGGGCCTCCGCAACTAGTGCCAGATGAAGCCTGCCTTCCTGCTAGCTCAGAGGCATAGCCTGTTTTCGGTTCCTCTTTGATGTCACCTTATCTGCATGGCACGGGACTGCCATGGTCCCCAGACCCCCTCTCAACAGGTTTTCCCAGGAGACAGGAGTGATACTTCCTCCAGGAGAGCTCCCCAGGAAGCCACTTGGGACTCCAGTTCTCTGCTGGAATCCCACAGGGCAGAGTCTAGTGACATGGAACAGGTACTCCATGAAGTACTGCAACTGAAAAACCAGTGGATGATTCCCAAAGTGGCCAGCTGGAGCAATTTTTGTTGCCCAGCATACCCTGAGCCACACACATCACACAAAATTAGCAAAAGAATTAAATCTTTTACGCTTAATGTCATCAGGGAATAAAAATTACTAATTTTCTCAAGATGCTGCAAGGAATTATTCTTCTCGATTAAGGCAACAAAAAGACCTTTTTGGTTTTTTAAAACTCTCTTTTGCAAAATATCTTATTTCAAAAATATTACCGGACAGAATACAGAACATCAAAAATGAACTCTAATGTAAACTACGCACTCTGGATGATAATGTTGTTAACGTAGGCACCATCATGGTAAAGACTGAATCCGATAAGAAAAATCAACAGATATTAAATCCAGGGGGAAATTCTGTTGAGCAGGATAACTGCATGGTCTCAAAGTGGCTCCCCACAGACTGCTTCTTAGTGGCAAGGAAGGAAAAATCGAAATTATACAGTGGAGAAGGTGGAAAGCATCGTGACTGGGTGATCAAATTAACATCACCAATGAGGGACAGATGGCCACTGTGGCCCCCAGAGTGTCCAGGAAACACTCCTGGCCCAGGCGGTGTTCCAGCCTCGAATGCACAGAATTCCTGGAATCTCACTCCAAGGAAGCACCAAGTTCAGAATGAAAGTTCTATTAATACAAAGGGAAAAATGTTAATGTCGTTAAAGACAAAGTAGGTTATGGAAATGTTCCAGATTTAAAAGAGGTTAAAGAAACATAGCAACTAAATCCAGCACCAGACTCTAGGTTGGACCATATACTGGAGGGGGAAATGCTGTTGAGGACATTAATCTGGTCCACAGACAAAATGTGCAGATGGGCAGCGGATTAAACTATTCTATCAATGTGAAATTTGCTAATGTTGGTAACTGTACTGTAGTTAAAGAGGAAAATACCCCTATTTTTAGGAAATACATATAGAAGTATTTAGGGGTCAAGAACTGTGATATATGTGTATCACTTACCCTCACAGGATTCAAGAAAAAAAATGTGTATGCCTGTGTCTTTATGGAGATAGATTACACAAACGATAAAGGCAAATAGGGTAAAGCGGTAACAAAGGTGAGTCTGGGTAAAGGGTATATGTCTTTGTACTACTTCTATTTTTTGCAATTTTGAATATTTTTGCAAGTTTGAATTTATTTCAAAGAAAAAAGGTTTATGTTGGATTCTGGATGGGATCCTTCCTTCAGCTGGTCTCCATGGACACAGGACGTCCCACCCAGGTTCCAGTAACAGCCTTGACTCTGACTGAGGCAGGTGTGGAAGGGGACTTCTGAAGCTCCAGCTCCTGGCCTCTGGCCCACAGACCACCAGCTCGGGGGCAGTGAGCCTGGCTGAGTATGCGTACTTCTGTCACACAGACCCCTGCCCTAACTGGAGAGCTGACTCCAGGGCAAGCCCAGAGAAAACTTCAGACCCTCCAAAGAAGTCCACCCCTAGCAGAAGAGAGCCTGTTTTTGGAACCACCACCAATACTGGATATCGTCAATCCTTTCCATTTTTGCCAAACTGATGGGTGAAAACTGGAAAGCTGTTTTGAACTGCACTTCTTTATTCTTGATTGAGGCTGAAGACTTTTTTCATTTGAATACTGATTACTTGCATTTTTGTGTGAACTGCCTGGATTAATCCTTTGGCTGTTTTTCTATTAGGTCTCCCTTTCTTTTACAGATTTGAAATTTTAATCCATTGTCTGATATACAGACTGCAAAATAGATCTGTTGCTTATCTTTTAACTTTATGGAATCTGGTATTTTACCAGAGGCATTTAGAGTTTTTACACAGTAAAATATGTAACTCCTTTCCTTCATGGTTTTGGGGTTTTGTGGCTTGCATGGGAATTCCCTCCCCACCCTGTGATTATAAAACACTGTCTTTCTCCTACTTTATAGGGTTTTTCTCTTCAATAAAATAAGGTCTTTTCTATCATCTGGAATTTATTTTTATATACAGAATGTAGTATGAGTTGAGCTTTGTTCTTCTGTGAATACCCCACTAGCCTGCCGCTATCAATCTATTATTATCCAGTTCAACATGCTGGCCCTTGTCGTGTGACGCTCCTCACAGGGACAGGGCAGGTCTCTGGACTCTCTTCTCTTCGTCTAATTGCTCCACCTACTTGCATGCTCCACCTTGTTTTAATTACCTTTATGCTATGTTTTAAAGAGGGCCAAGCCCATCCTTTACTATTCTTTTCCAAAATTTCCTTGCAGCCTGTGCTTCTAGTTCAACTTCAGAATTAGCTTGTCAAAGTTCCATGAAATATCTGTTGAAATTCTGATCAGGTTTCCTTTTGGGGAGAAGTAGCATTTTTGTAATACTTAGCCTTCCTCTCCTAGAAAATCCTGAGGGTGTTCACTGCCTCAGGCCTTCTTTCATTCAGGCCCACCCCTCGTGCAGTGCCTGGCAGACATTCAAGAAATAGGTGTTGAATCATTTTTTCAAGTTTTATATTTTCTTTATATGGTTTGCATATATTTTGTAAAGATTAGTCCTAGATAATTTATAGTTTGTGTTGCTGCAGTAAAGGGGACCCTTTTCTCATTCCATCTTCTGACTAGCTGTCAGCACGTAAGCAAGCAAGCTCTCTTGGATGGCCAGTTCACCCATCATACCCTCCACAACAACGCCAATCTAGCTTCTTTCTTTCCAACATAAATATACCTTACACTTCTCTGTAAAACTGTTCTGCCTCGCCTAAGCCTCTGGAGCCATGTGAACGTAGCAGTGACACAGGCATCCTCTTGTTTTCCTCACTGTAGAGGAATGCTTTTATTAAACATCCATGGAAGGAACAGGTCATTAAATATAGTCTTTTTTGTAGGCTTATGGTAGATATCCTTTATTAATAAACTATTTTTAATTTGCAACTAGTTTTCTTATTCATAGGAACGGAATTTTATTCACTGCTTTTCTGGCATCTATCACGTTGATTTTATGGGTTTTTTTTTTCTTTTTTAATCTGTTCAGGTAATGAAGTGGTGTGTACTGGTCAAAAGCATGAGTATCTACCACTTCGTGCAAGGGCTGGGACCCTGGACCTACTACGAAGACTGCCTCTGTGATCAGGGGCACGAATTACTTGACCACACTAAGCTTCTGTTACCAGCCCCCTCTGTAAAATAAGAATAAGCCCACCTATGATTTAAGGCATGTCACGTAGTTGGCTCAGGGTCGATAAATATTGGCTCAATAAATATTAGTTCTTATTATTAATTTCCTAATGTTGAGCCCTATATAAATAATGTACAAAGAGGATGGCAAACAACCCACAGAAATCAACCACTAAAACCAGGATGGATTTCTAACAGGTTCATGTGGTTTATGAACTAATGAATGGAACTTGAGAGGAGCATGAACTCCCTATAAGATGGCACAAAATTCTAGGTGTGTGTGTAGTTCCCTGGAGAGAGTCCACAGCTTTTTCCAAAGCATTCTATGTCCCAGGAAAGTTACTGTTTTAGGTGGCGGGGAGAAACACAAGCCAGTGGCTAAGAGCAGATTACCATGGCAAGCTCCCTGCAATGTGGAGGAAGCCAAGCACCCTGGCTGGTGGAAGGGACCTCCCCTGAGCCTTGGTTCCAGTCGTAAAAGCAAATGAACGATGGGAAGGGGACTCCCCAAAAGAACGTTCCCACCTTTTATTTTCTTTGTCCTCTTTCACAAGTGCAGATACGTTAAACCAAGTCATATCTCAGAAGCGAATGGACAGACTGCTAAGAGTGTGGAAAAAGGACACGTACTCAGAGAGGGGTGACCCAAATGGTACTAATGAAAAGCTTCCTCTGTGTCACGTTTTTTGGGCTGAGAGACCAGGAAGATCCCATAGACCAGCCCGTTTGTCTTTTTTTGTTAGACTCCTGTTTTTAAGCTAATGGATTTTAAACTAGTTCACCCCATAAACTTGAAATACCCTTTATCTCCAATAGATGGTGGCCAGAGAGACAAAGAGACTGGGAAGAACTGTCACAGTGGGAGGAGGCATGAAAGGAAAGGCACAGGAAAAGGGGCAGACACTACACAGTGCTGAGAAGGAAAAGACGTGGAGTCTAAGACACGGCTTCCGGGCTTCAAGGACCGCACGAGGTGGCCCCTCCGGGAACATGCGGGTTCTTCTATTTCATTTTAGGTGTTAAAAATGTTTGCTATTAATTTTCTGAGAAATGATTATGTAAGGACCATAAAGGTTCAAATATGATTAGCCACTCTTTCCTTCTGTACAGAAGCGCATTATTTTTGTCCTTTGTGGAGACTCTGGGGGTGAGGACCAGGCCCCTGTGCTCTGCTGACGCACACGACAGCTCTATTAGAAGTACTCATAGCACCACCACTTAGAAAAAAGCAAGCACCGTTCTTACCTGCCCAGGTGTTCAGAGTTCGGACTGACCAGGTACATTAGGTTCCTGAGAGTATGCAGTGGTTGTAACTGATCTAAGTTTACATGCTAGAAAAAACAAAACACTGATTAATATTTTCAACCAGGTAACACATTAAAAATTAGCTCACAGTATATTTTCCATACCTGAGAAAAGCACAGGTAGAGAATATTTGCATTCAGTTTCTTCACTGCTCGAGTAAATTTCTGTCTACTGAGATTTTCCCCACAAAATTCACTGGAAAACAAACATACAATTTGTAAAACTGTATCTTTTTGAGGAAATTCTATGGTAAAATGTCTATTTGGAAGAGTGTATTTTACACCACAGCGCAGTATAAAACAAACCCCACGTCATTTGCCTCTTTATAAGTTAGACTCAACAGAGACTTTCTGAGAATGAACTACGGCCCTCATGACGAGCAACTTCACTGCAGCTACAGAAATTACAAATGCAGATACCCTCTAACCAAGCAGTTCCACTTCTGAAAATTTATTCAACACAAATACTTGCACACCGATGAAATGATGAATGTACAAGATTATTCTGTGAAGTATAAATAGGGGGCTGGTGAGACCCTGGCACACTTACACAAAGAAGCCTCTGTTAACTGTCCACTCTGTGGAGAATGACAGCTGGAGGCTCGCAATGGCCTGACGAGGCCCACCCAATTTGCACCCCCTCCTCCTTTGCTGCCCTCGCTCTCCCCAGGGCTTGCTCCCCTCTTCCCTCAGGGTCACACGTGATCATACACCCGCCCACTCACATACTGCAAGCCCCTTCCCTGCCTCCACGTTCCCATTCCCTTGCTTTCACTCTGCTTTAATGTCCTCCACGGGATTCATCACCATCGGACACACTGCTCATTTATTATCTGTCCCTCTGTTAGAATGAAGTGCCAAGAGGGCAAGGATTATGTTTTCATCACCACTGTATCCTCTCAGTGCCTAGAAAAGGGCTCTAATATTTGTTAAATACTCAAAAAGGTGTAAAACACCCTAGTATATCTTTTGTGTTTAAAAGGGGAGACAGATGATAATACGTATTTATTTGGCTTGAGATGTAAGGATGACTAGACAGGGGTAGGAAGGTCTTAGTAGAACTGAGTATAACTTAGAACTGAGTACACTGTAAACCTTTACATTTTTTTTTAAAGATTTTATTTTGGGGCACCTGGGTGGCCCAGTCAGTTAAGGATCCGACTCTTGGTTTCAGCTTGGGTCATGATCTCAGGGTCATGAGATCAAGCCCTGTGTCAGGCTCCCCGCTCAGCGCAGAGTCTGCTGAAAAGACTCTCCCTCTCCCTCTGCCTGCCTTCCCCCTCACCCCCACATGCTCTCTCTCTCTCAAATAAATCTTAGAAGAAAAAAAAAGATTTTATTTTTAAGTAAGCTCTACACCCAATGTGGGGCTCAAACTCACAACCCTGAGATCAAGAGTCGCATGCTCCATCAACTGAGCCAGCCAGGCACTCCTACATTTTTGTTTGAATTTTTAAACCACCTGTTTTTATTTTAAAAAGTTAAAAAAAATATTCAAGTGTTATAATTTACCCAGTTCTTACACGTGAGCATACCCTCTGAAGGTCATAGTTTGCCCTTCAATTATTTTTCCAAATGGGAGAATTCTCTGTGGTCTTCTCAAAGACTTCATGTGCAATTATAAGATAATGAAACAAATTTGCACATTAGGCTTTTGAAATTAATCTCAGTATTTCACAGTCATTTTTCTGGCTTAATAATACTTAAATTCTTGGTTTGGATTGAATGAGAGTAAGCACACAACAGGAAAACGACATCCACGGTAAAGATGACACTGCCGCCTTCGATCACTTGCCTGTTGCACAGCCTTTTGGGGAGATTTATGTCAAGTATATGAGACAGAATGTTGACCAGCTGAGTCGCATAGCACAATGCAGCACTGATCGTGTAAGCGGGGTTACTGTGCTCCATGTCTGAAGTATAAAAACAACCATATACAAACAACTTTAAGTTCAACAAAGAATACCAATGAACCTAGATTTTATGATTTATAATTCTGTCATTACACTGTTGATGATTATGTTTCGCTCCTTATTAACATACTAATAAAAGGTTCATGGCCGCACACTGTTTCATCATTTATGGTTTTTGCGGAGTGGAATGTAACCTAAACAAATGAGCCCAGGCAGACCCAACATAAATGAAATTAAAATCTGAACTGCTTGGACCTGAGAATGTATTATTTATTAGAACAGTAAATGCCCAACTTAAATGTCACCCCTCAGAGAGGCCTCACCTAGGCTACACCTGTCTTGGTGACAACACCTTTGTTTCACCAGTACCTAGCATCGTGCATGACAGAAAGCACATACTCACTGTGTATTTGCTAAATGACTAAGTGAACAATCTTTTCTCCACCAAAGAAAGCTCTAGAGGTTTTAAAGGGTTTTTCTACTGGGCTATTTCTGTCTCCATTTCAGGCTGCTAAAACAAGCTCTTTACAAAGAAACTATAAAAACAGGACTCAACCGGCTAAATACACTAACTAGTGAGGTCTTTTCATATAAATAAAGCAATACTGGCCCCCCAAAAGTGAAATATCTAAAAAATGTTTTCAGTCCATTCACTGATGGACTGGATATAAAACGTGGTATATCCACATTACATACAATGGAATATTACTTGGTCATAAAAAGAATGAAATGCTAATTCATGCCACAATATGGATGAACCCTGAAAACATTATGCTATGTAAAAAAAGCCAGACACAAAAGGCCACCCATTGTATGATCCCATTTCTATGAAATATCCAAAAGAGACACATCTGTAGTTACAGAAATCAAAATTACAGATCTTCCTTGACTTACAATGGGGTTATGTCCCGATAAACTCATAAATTGGAAATATCCTAAGTCGAAAATAACATTTAATGCTCTAAACAACTGAACGCCATAGCTTCGCCTGGCCTGCCTTACACGGGCCCAGAACAATGACATGAGCCTACAGTTGGGCATAATCATCTAACACAAAGCCTATTTATAATAAAGTGTTGAATATCTCATGCAATGCATGGCATCCTATACTGAAAGTGAAACACAGAATAGTTATCAGTGTATCTACCGGCTGTGGACCCTCATGACCACAGAGCTGCCTGGGATTTGCGGCTGCCGGGGCCTGGACCATAAGAGAATATGCACGGCACAGCGCTAGCCCAGGAAACGATCCAAATTCAAAGTTCAGAGCGTGATTGCTACTGAACGTGTACCGCTTTTGCACCAACATAAAGTCAAAAAATTGTTAAGTTGACCCATCGTAAGTTGAGATCATCTGTAGGGGCTGCCCAGAGCTGGAGGAGAGGCGACAGGGGAATGACAGCTTTGTGCCTTGGAGCTCCCGTCTGGGGTGATGCCAGTGCTCTGGAACTCAACAGAGAGGGTAACCACACAACACTGTGAATGTATTCATGCCGCGGGATTGTTCACTTTACAACTGTTCATCTCATTACGTAAATTTTACCTCAATTAAAAAACATACCTACTTCTAAGTTTTCAAGGACTAATTTTGATTCTCACCAGGTCCCTGCGTGGTTTTCTTCTCTTCCACCCAATTGTAGTATGCAGAGTAGTCCCCATTGTTGGGAAGGCTAATCCAAGGCCCTGTAATGCTAATGCTGGTGTCCCCATTGTGATCATCACAGACCCATCTTCCTGAGAGGTAAGTTGTCCTCCGGGCTTCGGCAAGCTTGCTCACGGTGCTGGAGGTCATGGCACTGTCGCTCTCTGAGGACACATCTGCGGGATCTCTAAAAATCAGAACATACATACAGATTTCAAGGGAATGGGTTTTAAAGAGCATGCAAGATACTTGCCTGATATGTAGAACACTGAAAAATGCACACATGAGGACAGGAATTTAACTAGGATATACAAAGATAATTCTATCCGACATGAAGCTCAAACCAGCTGTGGCACAGACGGCCATACCAATGGGAGGAGAATGGCACCATGAGCTGGGGCCTCAAGTATTTGGTCTCAAGACCCCTTTACATGCTTACAATTTTTTGAGGACCCCACAAAGAGCTTTTGTGTATGTGGGATAGATCTACTGATATTTACTTGTATTAGAAATCTGAGAAAATTTAAATTATTCATTCATTTGGAAATAATAAACCTATTACATGTTAACATAGCATATTTTAGCCTTTTTCCGTCTGAGCTGCCGACATGCCATCCAGACTGAGGAAGACCCGGAAACTTCGGGGCCACGTGAGCCACGGCCACGGCCACATCGGCAAGCACCGGAAGCACCCAGGAGGCCGGGGTAATGCTGGTGGCATGCATCACCACAGGATCAACTTTGACAAATATCACCCAGGATACTTTGGAAAAGTTGGTATGAGACATTACCACTTAAAAGAGGAACCAGAGCTTCTGCCCAACTGTCAACCTTGATAAACTGTGGACCTTGGTCAGTGAGCAGACACGGGTAAATGCTGCCAAAAACAAGACTGGAGCTGCTCCTATCATTGATGTGGTGCGATCGGGCTACTACAAAGTTTTGGGAAAGGTTAAACTCCCAAAACAGCCTGTCATCGTGAAGGCCAAATTCTTCAGTAGAAGAGCAGAGGAGAAGATTAAGGGTGTCGGGGGCGCCTGCGTTCTAGTAGCTTGAAGCCACGTTTTAGGGCGTTCATTAAATGCTAACAAGTGCTTTTCTCTTCTGGTCTGGGTGTAAATGCTTTAGCACCCCTACCTCCTTACCTGTACATCAGAAACCCACCTAACAGATTCTAGGAGTAAGGGTATGAGGGCCTGAGACCCTCTGCCAACTCCCCTCAGAAACTGTGAAAGAGAGCACCAGCACTTAGAGGACTTGGCCCAATACCTAACTTGAACATTTTCATTTATAATGTGAGAATGATAGCACATGTAGTTGAAAGGCCAGTTTGCATTGTATATTCTGAATTTACAATGACGGGGGAGAACACAATTTTTAACTGTAGTACAGGGCGCCTGGGTGGCTCAGTTGATTAAGCGACTGCCTCCGGCTCAGGTCATGATCCTGGAGTCCCAGGATCGAGTCCCACATCGGGCTCCCTGCTCAGCAGGGAGTCTGCTTCTCCCTCTGACCCTCTTCCCTCTCGTGCTATCTCTCATTCTCTCTCTCTCAAATAAATAAATAAAATCTTTAAAAAAAAAAAACATAGCATATTTTATGAAAACAAAACAAAAAACCTGTACTTCTCAAAACAAGAAAATTAGTGAAGAATGGCATTGTTTGTTGACCAGCTGAAACACACAGAAATACAAAGCACTGGTCAAGACTTTTGAAAATCTCTTTTAACACCCAAGTCTTGCAGTTGTTCTTTCAAGTAAAAGTAGTGTCCCATGCAAAAACCAGCTAGTTCCACTTGAAACCCACTCAAGTGCTTTTTCTTAAGCCAACCGTAGCCCTTCAGTCTGGAGCCAGCCTTCTGCACACTTCCCATTTCATCATGTGGTATATTAAAACGAGGTGTACACATGGATCAAGACTTAATAAAATTTAAATAAAAATATGATTTCTACTGCTTCAAGAGCATCCTTGCTGTGAACTGTTTTTCCTCAAAAAACTCAAGTACGTGGTAGAATACGACTAGTAACATAGTTGGTGTCACTGCTTAGATATCTGTCAAGGCACCAGTTTTTACCCACGATAGCTTCTGAGCCGCCAGTGCAAATGTCCACACGGTGAAGAGGGAAATGAAATGTTACTGTTTGTACAGAAATACTTGTGACAGCGCAGACGGTACTCAGCTCTGAGCACCGCGGGCTAGGAAAGCGGGAAGGAACGAGAAGTCAGGGCAGACGCAAGCACGGCACAGAGACCATCCGATCCCCGTGGTTGGGGCCGTCGGCCGCACAAGGGAAGCACTAGGAGATGGTGTTTGACAAGTAGGTGGGGAACTGGCAGACTGGGGAAGGGCCTCTGAGCTGCAATAAGTTGAGGTTCTGTTCTCAATCCTTTCTCCTCCTGCCACCGCGTGCCTGTGGTTACGGTAAGTGCCCCTGGCAGTCATGGGGAAGTGGGGCAGGGCACTACGGCCAGTTCTCAGTGGCACCTCTGCTTCTTCCTTCTTCCACAGAACAAGTTTGAGGAATGCGAATGAACAAGAAATCTTATTACAGAGTAACTTCAAAACTATCAGCTTTAAAAAATTACCAGCATATAATATCATATATTGCTATAAAAGATTTAAACAGCACAGGCAGAGGACAAAGTTTTTCTCCATGTTTTCTCTTCTGCAGCTTCGCATTCAGTTGTCAGTCCCCTTGGTCTCCTCAGATCTGGGACAGCATCTTAAGACTGTGTCGTTGTTTAATGTGTTTTAACACTGATGTCTTGGTCCATCAGATTCTAATTTAGCACTGGGGCTGCCTGGCTAGCTCAGCCAGAAGAACACCCAACTCTCAATCTTGGGGTCGGGAGTTCAAGCCCTACGTTGGGTGTAGAGATAACTGAAAAAAATAAACTTAAAAAAAAAATCTAATTTACCATAATGTTTCTGTTTTATTAGGTTTTTCCTCCCCAAAGGCCTGGTTGCCTGTTTTTACACCAGTCTTTGGATACCCCAACTCCTCCCCACTGATTCCAAAAGAGTCTATTTCTGAACTTCCTATTCTGTTCTATTTTGAATCTGCCTTTTTGTATTTGCCAACTATTACTAATGAAAAATTACTTGGTAAGAGTCAGGGAGCAGGTTTTCAAGCCAGAATAATCAGACCTTGAGGCTTTTCGGAAGTTAACTATGGCAACAGCCAAAAGGACAAAGTAGAGGGAGCAAAGCAGAGTAACAGTCCTCACTAGTCACAGTGCACAGACTAGCCGGGGAAGGATGCTTGGAAGTGAGGACAACCAAGAGACAGGAAAATCCTCAACTGGAACAGCCTGATGGTTAGTGAGAAAGCAAATGAACTTCTCAGTAGCAATTTTTAAACCTCATCAATTATCATCTGGGGAAGTTAAAAAAAAAAAAAAGTATTTCGAGATAGGCTGGAGGGCTAAAGGTGTGTCCTCTGGAACCTGTATTTTTCCCAAAAGTTCCTAAGTGACTCTGATGAACATCCAGGCATGGAACCACTGTCTTGTCCATCTGATGACTCCTGAGAGTATCCATGCACTAGAGCCTAAGACTAAACTCACAGTCTCTGGGGCGCCTGGGTGGCTCAGTAGGTTAAGGGTCTGCCTTCGGCTCGGGTCGTGATCCCAGGGTCCTGGGATCGAGCCCCATGTCGGGCTCATTGCTCAGCAGAGAGCCTGCTTCTCCCTCTGCCTGCTGTTGCCCCTGCTTGTACTCTCTCTCTCTCGCTATCTCTATCCCTGTCAAATAAATAAATAAAATCTTTAAAAAAGTAAACTCACAGTCTCCAGCGCTTGCCAGGGGCTAGTTACCCAGGAAAAGGCTACGTCAACAGGTCAGTCAACAAGTGAGGGCCCCACTTCTCTGAGGGCCACCGCCCTTCACCTTGGCTGCCTCCCTTATTTCGTGCGTGTACTGTTTGCTGAAGCAGATAAGACTTCAGTTTCATTACCAGGAAAGCCAATGACCCCAGAATGAACCTGATAAATGAGGCGCTTCCATATTTGAAAAATACCTGATCTTTGAAACTTGATCTATTCCTAGAGTCAAAAGACTCACTGTACCTCACACTAGTCTTTACTTCCTCGATTGGAAAAATGACAGAGGTGAGCTCTAATATATGAGATCGCCGAAGATCTGCCAGATGCTCATAATGACTTCTTAAGTCAATGGTTTTTTTTTCTACCAGGTCACCAAGTCTGCGATTGTGCCTCTGAATCTTCTCCTTTTTCTCTTGATGCCGCTGTGCTCGAGTGTAGAGCTTCTGATTCTTTTCCTTGGTTTTCAGAAGGCCTTCAGAATCTGAAATAAATCACACCCAACAATTATCTCTACAGATGGCTCCTGGGGCCTGCAGAACCCACCTCACAAGTGTAAGCATCTTCCTGAAGTTTAAACCGAAAGCAAAACCTCAATCAGGTTAACTAGATAATGTTCACTAAGTGGAAATTGAGTTTAGCTTAAGTAAATAAATAAATCAAAGTGGACCATCACCTAAAGGACTCTGGGTCTCCATCTATAGTCATCATTTGTAAGAATCACTCAACAACTATCAAGCTCAAGCGAGGAAATACTTGACTTATTGGTAAGCACTGAAGAATAACCACGATGGGCAGAAAAGATATCTAATCCAAGTTTGAAAAACTTACTGGCTACCTGATTTTCCTTAGAAACCTCTTACATGTGCCTTGGGCTCCACTGAGATCCAGGGATAATCTCACGACAGGTGGTCATGCAGCAAAGAAACAGACCAAAGGCTCTGAAAAGTTACAGTGTAGTGTCGCGGCACCCAGCAGGGTGGGAGCCCTTATTATATGCCAGCATTTGAAGCACTGCAGGGGCAACCAAAGCCCGGCCACACAACCAAGAATGGAGACAGACGCTCATCCTGTCTGATACGTGTCCTTTTCATGAAGCTCCTTCAGATTCTGGATCAAAACCTGTAGGGTGTTAGGGCTGTAACTCAACTTCTCTCGAGTGGCAAAAACGAGTTGCAAAATCTCAGACAGACTTCTAGAAGTAACTTAGGAGGCTCAGACAAAAGTTCAAAATCAAGCTCATTATTTTTCCACAAAAGCCTCATCTTGATACCTAGGTTCTCTACTTAATGATTTTTTTTGACCTGTCCACAGCCTAAGTCAGTTCCCTGCTGGTCAATTCCATGGGCTGACCTACCATTCTTCCGTAGAGGGCTTTCTTTTCCTTCCCAGTGTTACAATCTTATTAACTCTCCCCCAAACCCCACTTCCAGCTCAGCTCCACTCCAGGCCTTCACCAGCCCAGTCTTCATCAACTGTAAGCAGTGCCCGGCGGTTCTCCACTGCCCAACAAACACACACCGACCTCCTTGGCCTTGAGGCCACTCCCACACTGGCACATATCCCACAGTTCCCTTCTGCACCCCTTCACCCCAGCCTCATTCAGTTACTAGGCACTCCACACCTTTTATACAAAGTGGAACTATTTCAATGCATGCATGCATGGATGGATACTGAACCAGTCATCATTCCCTTTAGGATGTCCTCTACAGATCCTATTCAGATCAATGTCTCTAGGAACGCTATTAGCTTCTACTCTTCAAATGTCCAAATTTTTCTCATTCAGCCAGGCCCCCTTCCGTAAGTGCTCCCCAGACTTTTTGCTCCTTGGAAGCCTGATGCACTGTGTGTACCTCACCTATAGCTTAGTTCCTTACACCAGGTCCAAACAAAGCCTTGTTCTCCCCTGACTAGATTATAACAAGCACCTGATAAATGTCTCAAAGGTGGTCCTCTGAGCGAGGGCCACTGAACCTAGGTATTTCACTGTAGGCATAAGGTTTCTTGCGGTTTAGTTTCCCCTTACTTGTGCATTCTCTTTACCATTCTTGCTCAGTGTGGATGTTCTAATGTTTAAGTTGCTGGTTCCATCACACTTACCTTCCAGCAAGCTCACTGATTTTCATGATCACTACTGAGCTCTTTACAAGTGCTCAAATGAATGTCTGGCCATGGGCCCCAGTCATATGATGGTCAGATTTTTTAAGAACAGTTTCCAACTTGATTTCTACTGGATCAAAACCTGTTAGGGTGTTAGGGCTGTACCTCAACTTCTCTCAAGTGGCAAAAACGAGTTGCAAAATCTCAGACTCCTAGAAGTAACTTAGGAGGCTTCTAGGTGCCACCCTTCACAGATGGCAGGACATCACCAATAACCTAAGCTGCACTAGTGCAGACTCAGCACTCAAGAGTTTAATTTGTCCTCTCCATGCCATCACCCCCTAAACATAAGAACATTCTGATGCTATTTCTGTCATCTACTGTTGCTTATTTGGGTAAGTAACTTTATAGCACAGATTGACTCAACTTTAAAGGTTCATACAATCCAACTTCCCTATCTATACCATATATCTGTATTATTCTGTATCACATAAAATTATATATATTTTAACAATAAAATTTTAAAAAATACTATTTACTGGGTAACAAGCTCTTCACTTGTGGACTTGAGACCATGCATGGTTTCTGGAATCCATGAACTCCCTTAAAACTGTTTGCAAAAATTTTTGAGTCTTGTCTAAAGGGTGGCAACTAGACTGCATTTATGTTCTAAAGAGCAGTGGTTCCCAGCCCTTGGTAGGTCATCAGTACCACCCAGAGTAGTGCTCCTCAAAGTGTGGCCCGTGGATCTAGGCCCATCAGTAAACTTTTACCAGTCAGAAAAGAGAAGTACAGAAATACAGAGTAAGTTTAGCAACATTTTTCTTTGACATGCCATCCAAATGTGCAATCATTTTTCTAGTATTTTATTGTACTTTATAAAAGTATTGGTATCAGCTTATGACAGATTAGAAATCAGAGAGGAAAAAATGGTCTTTTACTACAGACAGTTTAAGAACCTCTGACCCAGTCCCCATACATGAGATTTGAATTTCCTAAGTCCAAGGTGGGTCCCAGGATTCTCTTTCTAGATTTTACAGGGGTTACCAGGTGACTCTGAGGATTTGCTAGGTCCACTGCTTTAGTACCAAATCTTTTCTGTGGTGGTTTTGTTTTGGGGAGTCAGGAATCTGTTAAATTCAGCTGATCAAAGTTTTAAACTTGTTCATCAGGCAAGGCACAAACTCAGTAAATCCAGCAATTCTAGGAGGTTCACAGACACCTGGGAGCAAATCATCCATGTGAACATCATGGGAGGATGTGGAGAGAGGGGTAAGTCTCAAGTCCCTACGCTGCTGCTGAACCAGAGCCTCTGGATACACACGCAAAGCCCAGTGGGTAACCAGCTGTCTGTGGTTCTGACACCTCTTCCCCATGCTGCTTTCCTCTCCAGCTTACTAAGCCTGTGAACTCCATAGGAGCATTTTATTAGGACAAACATTTTCAAAGGAAGCTTTTGCTCTATTACATACCACTATAAAATACTTGCTTCTGAAAGCAACGAGCAGACAAGAAAGGGATTCATAAGGTATGATGGTGACTCAGTCTGAATTTTAAACAATGATCTTCAGAAATACATGGAGTATGTCTAAGGATACAGGATTTTTTTTTTTTTATAAATTATCTTTTTCTTTTCAAATTTTTATTTAATAGGATACAGGATTTCTAAGAGGACTCTCCTAAAATTTGATAACCATTTACAATGAAGGATGAGGTACACAAATGTAAGATTAATACAGATTAAAAGGTGTATGAGACTCACGAATGGAGAGAAAAAGCCAATATTCTGTGTTTCTGGAGTGAACTAATAATTATAACTGAGTACCAAGCTTCTTGTTAGCAAAGGCAAATGGAAATATATATTCCTTAACTTTTTTAATTGAGAAAAGTAGTTTATTCAAAGGTCATCATATTTGTGTGTATATGTATATATAAAATATATATATTTGGAAAAATATTTACTTAAAATCCTTATACAAATGTTTTACAAGAGGAGGAAGGCAAGCAGGAAACCTTTCCAGGTTGCTGTTGCCTTCCCACCCCTCCTTTCTCTGTCTCTCTAGTTTATTAATCCAGTGAAATTCCACACTAGCCCTTTATTAGGTCTAGAAGGGGGACACATTACTTACTTATTTTCATTTCCTCATTTCCTTTACAGATTGTTTGTTTCAGCTGTTCAATCCTCATCTTGCAGGACATTATTTTCCATCTCTTAAAAAAAAATGCAATAAATATCACAAATGTTGGTCTCTTATGATTAATATGATTATCTACCTAGGATCACTATTATTTTGAGGCATAACTTAGAAAACACAAGAAAAGAAAATATAATTATATTTATCATAACTTTTGTGACTGACTATGGTGGACTACAAAAAGAAGAAAATGTTATTCTGGTTCTGTGCAGAAGCTGGTAGGAAATTAAGACAGAAAGAAATTCACTTACTTCTTTCATGTGTAATGAGGACAGACAGAAATGGTGAAGTATATTCTCCTAACCTGCTCTGTCCGATATACAGCTAATGATCACATGTGGCTATTTAAAAGTCATCTGAAATTACATAAAACTCAGTTCCTACTCAACACTACCCACATGTCAAGTGTTCAACACATGTGGCTAATGGCTACCATATTGGTGAGTTTAGACATAGAACATCTGCGTCATCACAGAAAGTCCTACTATTGCACTGCTCCAAACTCTTCATGCTATTTACTGAGGAGACCATTAACATCACTGTATTATCTCACTAATACAATACGCAATTATTACTTGCAAAATAATAAAAACTTTGATAAAAACAGAAGGTTTTCTCCCTCAAGATGAATAAAAGATCAGTAAAAATGCAACCTGGCAGTCAGTTAAAAAGTATGATTACCAATTCTATAATGCCTCTATAAATGTGGATAATTAAAAGCCTAAAACAGCATTCAAGTATTTATGGTGTTTAACACTGGCCAAAGTGGTCTGCTGGTACAAGATGCAGAGCAGATTGCTGCGATGTTGCAGCAGCAAAGTGCTAACCGCCCTGACGGAGGGACACTTGAAAACAGACTCGTGGGGACCAATGAACTGATTCAAAGATGAAATGGCCATGGGATGTCTTCACTTTTAAAGGGTTTTAGTCTTTAAGAAGCAATATTGAAATCTTTTATAGAAAAACTAGAAAACAGTACAGGGAATTTAGAAAAACGGCAAAGGGATTCTTTATAAATAGCCTTTAATGGTCTTTTCCCATACAATGTATTTTGTTTCACTTATGTCACATACATTCTTCAAGTATTTAAAAATTATGAATGATGCTTATTGTGAAAAAAAATTAAACATCACAGAAGAGAAAAATATAGTGATCATTAGCCTGACTCCTTCCCATTCTTCAGGGGTAATCTCAATTAAATTTTAATATGTATCTTTTCAGATTTTTTTAGAGTATATTTACATTTAAAACACATACACAAATGGAATCATACTTCACCCTAGCCTACTTTTTGTTTGCTCTGTCATTAAAAAAACTCTTGGATATCATTCTGTATCAACACATGTGGACTAAGCATTCTTTTGAACAGCTATACTGTATCAATTACTTATCTCATCCTGTTTGATAAGCATTTAAGATATTTATGGATCACTACCCAGGCTCTAGTCAATCATCTTCTTTATCCATAAATCTCTGCATTCCTGTATTTTCTTAGGAGGAAAACTGAATATACCACATGTGCAATTAAAAAAAAAAAAAACAAAAACACACACCCCAACAAACCACTAACTTGTCCTCCAACCAAATACATCAATGTATACTCCTACCAACACTGAATAAAAGTATTATCAAACTCCTTATTTTCATATGCTGTACTCATTTTTCCCAGTTATGTTCATTTTGCTCAGAGTCTTCAACATACAGAACTTTTAAAACTTTTACATAGTCAGTGAAAATGTTTTCCTTTTATGGCTTATAAAGATCTGCCCATCTGTAGGTTACATTTATAAATACTCTCCCATATTTTCTTTTAATATTTTTATGACTTTACTTTTCACATTTAATCATCAATCCATGTAGGGAGTGTGTGTTTACAATGAGTAAGTTTTTTCAAAAAGGATAGTTCATCATTCTTGTATTCCTATGTCAATACCAGACTTCATACTTATCCTTTATAATGGCTCTATAATTAATTGCCAGTACTCTGGCATCTAGATAAAATATTTCAGGGCCCACACTACAAATATATTCAAATAGAGGGCTGCCAAAAAATGATAATTTAAATTCAAAGTGATACTTTTAAGCACTATCAAATGAAAAGCATGTAACCACAAATATAAAGAATATTATTTAAATACTTCTTACAGCTTACCAACTGATCTGTTATCCATTTTCCTTCCATAGCTTTTAACACTCTGCACAGAGAAAAGACAATCATAATTATATTTTGTGAAACTCAAAAATGTAAAATCAACATCTTTTTAAAGTAAGTTCTTAAAAATGTCTGGAAATACCAAAGTGAGACTCAAGCATTCAACAATGTTTTCCAAGGGTGCCTGGCCAGCTCACAGTCAGTGGAGCGTGCGACTCTTGATCTTGGGGTTGTGAGTTTGAGCCCCATACTGGCTGTAGAGATTATTTAAAAATAAAATCTTTAAAAAAATAAAAAATAAAAATGTTTTCCAAATTCCCCATTCTCTAATTTTTTCCCCATTTCCTTCTTTTTGCACTTTTAATACTGCCCAGAACCTTTCTGTAAACATTCACAATTTCCAATAACAGCCAGAGCCTTTGTCCTGTCATAATCAATCATTTCTATGAGTCATAATTATTAATAATAGTTACAAGAGAATTCATAATCTAAAATGTGATGCTCAGTTCCCAAAGAAATGGCACAAGCTGGCACCTGTAAAAACCTGTCCTATGAAGTGTTCTACGGAAGAAATAAAAGTTTCTGTGATTAAATTAGAGAAATGACTTAAATAAATCTAAGCAGGGTTCTGTAATGCAGGACATCTCAGAAGATTTACTCTGCTCATAAATGTTTTCATAGACCTGGAGTGCCTCTGGAGAACAGTGACTAGGTCAGTTTGGGACAGAAGATTCTACAGGACAATTCTCAAATCCAGAGGGTGAGATTCATCAGGGGTGCTTGTTAATAACTCAGATTCCGGAACCTTGCCCCCCACCCCAGACCTAGAGTCAGAATATCTGAGGATAGGATTCCGAGAATCTGCATTTTTAACCTTTACCTCAGCTAATGAATTCTGATGTAGATGATATGCAAGACCACGCTTTGCAAAACGCTGATCCAGAAGAAGAAAGATAAATGGAAGACTTGACATCTTACAGGAACCACCACTTATTTGCCTGTTCTGGACCCATTTGCTGCACATCAATTATCTGGGCCAGGGGTCTGACTCGTCAGTCTAGTCACTGAGTGCCTGCTGCGAAGGCACTGGGTCTGATCCCAGTGTTTTCTAGGAACCTGATAATCTCTCCTGTTTTGCTTCTCCCACATGCACTGCTCTTCCAAACTTTGATACTGTATCCTAAATTCAACAAGTGAGCAATCCATGTATCTACATACCACAGCACTGAATTAAACCACACGGTGACAAGAGAACCTCCACACGCAGAAAAGCAAAAGGGAAACTCACTCTTTTTGAAATTCTTCTTGCTTGCTCTTAAGTTGGCTTAACCTTTCTTTCTTGTCTATAAACCTATAAGAAAAAAATGTAATGTTTTATTTAAATGTTCATTCTTTTCAGTTCAGTGAGATTATGCAAATTCCTAAGAGCCAATCATTTCTGTAGACTCATCTGGAGATGTCCTGGTCCTGAAAGTAAACACACATCTTCTCAAGGCGGTGCGCACATAGCTGCTTATGCCACTTGCTCACTTTAAAACTAAGTTCAGATTCTCAACTTTAAAATTCTTTCATGGGTTTATAAAATATGTCTAGAAGCCACCCCCCCACCCCGCTCAGATTAAATTATCTTCCAAAACAGGCACATCAGAGCACTAGAGTGAATTTGAATTCAAGGAAATTGAGGCTTCTAACATAAACATGATTTTAATTTAGCTTAATTCAATCCTGCTCTCACCTATAAATTGGTTACTTATAATTTTTAAAGTACAATGTTTTTTTCCTTACTAATTTTATTGCTAGTCCTTATGGGCTAACAAGTTATTTAGTACAAATTATCAAAAGGAAGGGATATCACATTGCAGTTCATTTTCTCTACAGTCTTCTCCCCTTACCCTTTTCTTCCTGTTACCTTATTTAGGGTTTAGTCTGCCTTTTTTTTTTCTTTGCACAGTTTAAGATGGAAACTTAGATCATCCATTTTAAGCCTCTCCCTTTTAAATATAACCATATAAAGTTATAAATTTCCCAAGTATTGTGTTAGCTGAACCCCAAAATGTCTGATAGGGTATATTTTCACATCATTTGGTTTGGAATTCCTAATTTTCCAAAAATTCCTTCCTTGACCTCCAAGTTATTTAGAAGTATAGTGCTTAATTTCCAGATATATGGGTTTTTCTAGGTAACTCGTTGTTTTCCATTTTCTGACAGAATATACTCTATGAGATTTCAATCTTTTAATTTGAGAGTATCTTACGGCCTTGCATCTGGTCTGCCCTGGTGAAAAGTTCCCTGTGCACCTGAAAGAATATGTATTCTACAGGCTTTGGGTACTGTGTTCTAGAAATGTCACCAGCTGAAGGTGATGAAGAGTGACATTCACATCTTCTAGATCTGTGCTATTCACTAAGATAGCCACCAGTCGCATGTGCTACTGAGTACCTAAAATGTGGCTTGTTGCTTAATAAGTATCTGGGTAAAAAAAATATATATATATATATATGACTAACATCATGCAACTGACTTTTAAACAAGCTAACAGTGGCTCGCTATTTTAAAAAAACATGATAATGCCATATGCTATAGTAACATAGTATGGAGTCCAAGATTAGGTTTTTGGCTGTCTCCCAAATTCCTAGCCTAAATGAAAACAATCTAACAGAATAGTAACAACCCTAGAATCGCTTCCTTAAAATGGTCCAGACTAATAGCAGTCTAAAATATTTCTAAAACCTCATGTTTGAAACATACCCAAAGATAACTACTTCAAAATGGAAGGGATCAATAGATAAATGGATAAAGAAAACGTGGTAAACATACATGCTAGAATACTACTACCAAGAAAAAAGAATGAGACTTTGCCATGTGGGGCAACATGGACAGACCTAGAAGGTATTATGCTAAGTAAAATAAGTCAGTCAAAGAAAGACAAATACCATATGATTTCACTTATATGTAGAATCTAAAAAACAAAACAAACACAAAAATACTTAAATACAGATAATTGGTGGTTGCCAGAGGGGACGTGGGAGAGGGGAGAACAAAACAGATAAAGGGGAAGTTTATCAGTTATGAAGTAAATAAGTCACAGAGATGAAAAGTATAGCACAGGGAACATAGTCAATAATATTGTAGTAACACTGTATGATGTATGTGACAGATGGTGACCACACTTACTGTGGTGAGCACTGAGTAATGTATAGAAGTGTCAAATCAATGTGTTGTACAATACACATGAAATTATTTTAACATTCATGGAACACTACATCAAAAACTAATGATGTAATGCATGGTGATTAACATAAAATAAAATTTAAAAAACAAAAAAAATTTAACATTGTAAGTTAATTATACTTCAATTTTAAAAAGAGAAAAAAATGGGAGGGATAAAATATTCTAATTATGACCCTATCATTTAATAGGCAGTCAAAACGTATAATATATGTTAAACAAAAAAAGCAAATCAAGTGATATTATATACTTGTGTGGCTAAATTAAAATTAGATTAAAAATTCAATTCCTGGGTGGCTCAGTCGTTAAGCGTCTGCCTTCGGCTCGGGTCATGATCCCAAGTCCTGGGATCAAGCCCCGCACTGGGCTCCCTGCTCCGCGGGAAGCCTGCTTCTCCCTATCCCTCTGCCTGCCACTCCCCCTGCTGTGCTCTCTGTCAAATAAATAAAATCTAAAAAAAAAAAAAAAATTTTTTTTTTTAAATTCAGTTCCTCAGTTACTAACGACACTTCAATAGCCACTTACGGCTGGTAGCTATCTTACTGGACAGTGTAGACGCACAACATCACTGCAGAAAGTTATACCAAGTAGCACTGCAATGGCCAGTAAGGTAGTAACTGCATGAAACAGTAAACACTCAAAAACCAGTGTGGAATTTAGACAAACTCATAGACTCATCCATTAATTTATCAGGCAACTTACAACAAAACATCTTCCAGAATAATAAATCTAATTATATATTCTGCAGCTGTGTACTGACATATTGTTATATGCTTCCATCTCCACATATCAAAAATGAGAAACTAATGTGGTATTTACTTCTACCTCACTGAGGCAATATGGTGATTTATGTTCTGATAACCTGAAGGAGGTGACAAACTCACAAGACTCATCAAACCAGGCAAACAAAGACTGACAATGGAGGATAAAATCTTGCTTTTAGAGGCTACAAAAGTTCTCCCTTCAGATCTGTTGTAGAAATATCACTTTGCACTAAAACAAACTGGGATGACAAACAACCCTGTCCAGCTTTATACTGAGCTGGTTCTCTTGGGCTTCATTAAAAAACTTAAAATGTAAATATATAGTTGCCAGCAGGAATAATAAACAAAAGACAACAATTCCTACTGTATCAAACACTTCATGAGTAATGTTATTCTTCATGAAGGAAATTAAAAATAGGTGGTGTTAACAGAGCTAAACAGCAGATGAGATCAAGGAATGTGGCTGGGTCAGCATTTCAACTGCTCATCTGCACACTCATCCATTCTCTGCATTCTCCGTCCCACCACTCATGGAAAGATAAAATTCATTCTACAATTCTGTGCTTTCTCAATATGGTTTCCAAGAAATAGATTAATGCAGTCATCATATTCAAACTAGATTTTCTTTAAAGATTGTATTCGTTCGAGAGAGAGAGAACACGAGCGGAGGGGCAGAGGGAGAGGAAGAAGCAGACTCCCCGCTGAGCAGGGAGGGAGCCCGACCCGTGGCTTGATCCCAGGACCCTGAGATCATGACCTGAGCCGGAAAGCAGACACTTAACCAAATGAGCCACCCATGGGCCCCCAAACTAGGTTTAAGGATACAAAAAAAAAGCAGGGAGGAAAGGAATATTTTTTGTACTATCTCTCAGAAGTGGGGTTTATCACAAAATATCTTGTGTCTTTTTCCATGTCAGAACATACAAACTAATTTCATTCTTTAACAAATACACAGAATTTCAGTGAATGGACATCCTGTAATCTATTTATATGAACTCCTATTGATGAACATTAGCATCATTTCCAAATTTTCACTATTATCAGTAATGTTGTAAGTGAATAGCCTAGTGCACAAATCTTTAAAAGCTTTTAGGTTTCTCCAGAAATTCCTGTAAATAAAATAAACTGCTGGGTCAAGTATTCACATGCAAAATTCTGGCAGTTATCTTTAAATTTCCTCAGAATCATTTCATATAATTTACAACCCCACCAACAGCTGAGTAACAGAACCTGTTTTATCTCTCTCCAAACTGCACACTTTTTAGTCTTTGCTAAGCTGATCGGCCCCCCACCACTTCCGTCCAAAGATCATAATCCATTCACTTGCTTTTCTTTATTTCACTATTAGAAATGTTGAACACCTTTTCCTATCTTGTTGGCTACTTACTTTTCTTTTGTTGTTCCCCTATGTCTTTTATTTTCCTATAGCTTTTTTAAGAATTAGGGAAATTAGCCATTTTTCTTTCCAACATCTTGAAATTATTTTTTCTCACTTTGCTTTCTGACTAACGTGTGTTTCTGCTCTACAGAACTTCCCAAACTTTTATACAGATACATTGAGCAATTCTTGTTGTCAAATGGCTCTAGTTTTGTATTGTTTTCTGAAAGGAATCTGCCAGTGAACCTGTACCAGGCACTGGGGCTTTTACAACACTATATTTTCTCTCCCAATTTAAAAATGCCTTGTATTTACCAAAATCCTACATACTTAGAGTTGTGTTTTTTCCCCCCTAAAAAAGTACTTCCTTAAACGGACTTTGTCTCCTAAATTCTCCCATACTTTGCAACTATGATTTTTTGTTCCCCATTAAAAAAGTACTCCCTTGGGCGTGCCTGGGTGGCTCAGTCGGTTAAGCATCTGCCTTCGGCTCAGGTCATGACCCCAGGGTCCTCGGATCGAGCCCCACATCAGGCTCCCTGCTCAGCTGGGAGTCTGCTTCTCCCTCTCCTTCTTCCTGCCATTCCTCCTGCCTGTGCTCTCTCTCTGTGTGTCAAATAAATAAAATCTAAAAAAAAAAAAAAAGGTACTCCCTTAAACTAACTTTTAAACAGTCCCCCTGCAGTGGAGACTGATGAGAATAGGGGCCCTGGTCCCATAGTGCTGGGATGGTACCAGCGTCGGCACAAAGCCCAGCTCAGTGCATCATGCCTCTCTGGGCTGACCTGGGGATGGGTTAGAGCCGGCTCTGTGAATGGAAAGAAGGCATGCCAGGCAGAGGGAACTCTGCTGTTTCACAAGGCAAAGAGCTAATTTGTCCTGCATGAAAGCATTTCAGCACAGCAGGCAGGATAACAGGGTTAGGGGTGGGCTGCTGATGAGGCACCAGTTAGGACCGTGAGCCATGTCTCTCCACACTGT